TACTGGAGAGAATTCCCCTCCGTCTTCCAGCAGGGGGAGGGGAAAGAACCATGTTGCATGTGCGAGAGGATTCTGTTCTTGTTCACAAGACCTGCCCAGGAGAAAGTGTTTCACCAGAGCCTGACCTGCTGGGGTTTTATTGGAGCCCAACAGACCTGGGGAAAGGAAACACCCACCTCCAGCCCCTCTAACCTCTAACCATCCTGTCCCACCTGAGGGGCGAACACTGAGAGGTTCTCATGGAGTTCACAGGCCAGGAGCACAGACTCGCCAAAAGCAGAGACCTCATCAAAGGACCACAGACTGCCGCCCCCCTACATGTGACCATCAATCACTGAAGGGTCACCAGTGCAGCTCCTTCCACCCAGAGCATCACGTCCACCTTTCAGCCAAAGAACACAGGGCACACTGAGAGGCAAAACACCGAGTGAGGAGACTTGACCACATCATAACCAGAGTCAGACATGGCAGGAACGTTGGAATTACCAGAAAGGAATTTGAAAACACTAGGATTAATATGCTAAAAGCTTTAAAGCAAAAACATGTAAAAACAGAACATGTTAGCACAGAGATAGGAATTCTAAGAATCAAAAAGAAATACCAGAGATCAATAGATACCTTGGATGGGCTCATCAGAATACCTGACGCAGTCGAGGAAATGATCTCTCAGCTTGAAGACACAATAACAGAAACTTCCAAAGCTGAAAAGCAAAGAGAACAAAGATCGAAAAAAACAGAGCAGAACATGCAAGGACTGTAGGACACCATAAACGGTGTAACACACATGTAATGGAAAAATCAGAAGGAAAAGAAAGAGAGAAAAGAACAGATGAAATATTTGAAGCAATAATGACTGAGAATTTCCCCAGATTAAATGTCAGACACCAAACCACAGACCCAGGAAGCTCAGAGCACACCAAGGGTAAACGCAAAAAAACTCCAAACAAACAAAAATATCCTTTATTTTGGCATTCAAACTTCAGAAAATCAAAGATAAAGGAAAAATCTTGAAAGAAGCCAGAGGAAAAAATACCTTATCCATAGAGGAGCAAAGAGAAGAATTACATCCAACTTCTCCCCAGAAACCATGCAAGCAAGAAAAGAGAGGAGAGAGAGATTTAAAGCGTTGAGAGAAAAAAAGTCCTACGAACCTAGATTTCTGTATCCTGTGAAATTATCCCTCAAAAGTGAAGGAGAAATAAAGACTTTCTCAGACAAACAAAAATTGACAGAATTTCTTTCTAGTAGACCTGTCTTGCAAGAAACGTTAAAAGAAATTCTTCAGAGAGAAGAAAAATGGAAAAGGTCATAAACTCAGATCCACAAAAAGAAAAGAAGAGCATCAGAGAAGTAATAAACGAGGATAAAATAACAATGTTTATTTCTCTTCTTCCTAATTGATCTAACAAATAACAGTTTGCTCAAAATAATAATAGCAACAATGTTTTTGATAATGTATGCTTATGTGCATATATAAATATATATATACTTCTGTTTACTTACATATAAGTGAAATGAATGACAGCAATGCTACAAGAGACAATAGGGAGGAATTAGAATTATCTCGCTATTATAAGATACTCCCATTACTCATGAAGTTGCATAACATTATCTGAAACTGAATTTGGATTAATTATAAATGTATATTGCAAATTCTAGGGTAACCACTTAAAGGAGAGAAAATGGTATCATATAAAATGCTCAATTAAAACCACAAAAGGCAAAAAAAGTGTAGAAGAAAAAATAGGAACAAGGAATGAAGGCAACAAAGAAAAAACAGTAACGACTACAGCCAATACTAATCCAACTATATCAATAATCACTTTAAACATCAACAATCTAAATCAAACACTTAAAAGACATATTGTCAGAGTGGATCAAAAAACAAGACCCAACTATGTATTGTTTACAAGAAACTCACTTTAAATATAAAAACACATATAGATTAAAAGTAAACGGATGGACAAAGACACACCATGGACATCAATCAGAAGATGGCAGGAGTAGCTACATTAATGTCAGACAGAGCAGACTTCAAAGCAAGGAAGGTCATCAGGGATAGAGAAGGACATTGCCTAGTGATGGAGGAGTGGATTCTCCAACAAGACATAACAGTACTTAACATGTATGTGCCTAACCATAGACTACCAACGTCACGAGGCAAAAACCGATAGAATTATAGGGAGAAATACATGAATCCACTGTTATGGTTGGAGACTTCAACACCTTCTATCAGTAATGGGCAGATCCAGCAGGGAGAAAATAAGCAAGGACATAGTCCAACCCAACACCACCCTCATCAACAGGATATAATTGACATTTATTCACAACTTCATCCAACAACAGCAGATTACACATTCTGTTCAAGCTCACATGGAACATTCACCAAGGCAGACCACATTCTGGGCCATAAAACACACCTTAATAAATGTAAAAGAAAAGATATCACACAATTGCTCTCAAATTCCAATTGAATTAAACTAGAAATCAATAACCGAAAGACAGCTGGAAAACACCAAAATACCTGGAGATTATTTCTAAACAACCTATGGATCAAAGAAGAAATCTCAAGAGAAATTTAAAAATATTTTGAACCAAACGAAAATAAAAACATAACATCAAAATTTGTGAGATGCAGCAAAAACAGGGCTTACAGGGAATTTTATAGCATTGAATGTATATATTAAAAAAGAAGAAAGATCTAAAATTAATAATCTAAGCTTTTACCTTAGGAAATTAGAAAAGAAGACCAAATTAAATCCACAGTAAGCAGATGAAAAAAATATAAAAATTAGAGCAGAAATCAATTAAATTGAAAACAGGAAATCATTAGAGAAAATCAAAACCAAAAGTTGGTTCTTTGAAAAGATCAATAAAAACTGATGAAACTCTAGCCAGGCTAAGGAAAAAAAGAGAAAGGACGCAAATTAATACTATTGGAAATTAAACAGGGGACATCACTACAGAGCCCATAGACATTAAAAATAATCAAGGAATACTATGAACAACTCTATGTTCACAAATTGATACCCTAGCTGAAATGGACCAATTCCTTAAAAGACACAATTTGCTAAAAGTCACACAAAAAGAAACAGAAAATCTGAATAGGCCTACATCTATTAAAGAAATCGAATAAATAATTAATAACTTTCCAAAATAGAAAACAGTAGGCCCAGATGGGTTCACTGGTGAATTCTACCAAAGATTTAAGGAAGAAATTATACCAATTCTCTACAATCTCTTCCGAAAGACAGAAGCAGAGGGAATAGATCCTAACTCATTCTCTGAGGCCAGCGTTATCCTAATACCAAAATCAGGCAAAGACATTATTAGAAAACTACAGATTAATATTTCCCATGAACATTGATGTAAAAATCCTCAACAAAGGTTAGCAAATCGAATCCAACAATGTAGGAGAAGAATTACACACCACGACCACGTGGGATTTGTCCCAGGTATGCAAGGCAAGTTCAACATTCAAAAATCAATTAACACAATCCATCACATCCACAGGCTAAAGAAGAAAAATCACATGATCATATCAGCAGATGCAGAAAAAGCATTTGACAAAATCCAGCACCCATTCTTAATTAAAACACTCTCAGTAAACCAGGCATAGAGGGGGACCGAGGGCAGCCAGGGCCTGATTGCTCCCCTCTCATCCTCCCCATCACAAGGAGGCCGCAGGCAGGCCCATCTGACAAGTGTCTTGCCTGCCTTCCCCACGAGCCTCCACACACCCCCACCCTGGGCAGGATTTGGAAGGATTATTTCTTAAACTAGCGATTCAACACCAAAGGCAAAGAAACTCACTACTTTTGATTTCTTTTCAAGTCACCTTACAAATATGGCCTTTAAAGCATAATGAAAACACTGAGAGAGATAAATTTAAAAGATGAAAATATTTCTGAATGCTCTGGGTCCCTCACTCAACAGTCATCATATGAAAGAAAAAACTCACCAAGTGTTTAAAAATCTGCTTTAATTATATTTCCATGGATTCCAAGAAGAACATCATTGCAGTTAAGGTTACAAAAAAGCAAAGAGGGACAACTGAACATGCAATAAAAAATGGATTCACAGTGAAAATAACGGATGTTGATACCAAAATACATTACTTGGCTCCCTGAAGGGAAAAGCTTTTTTCCTAATTATCTATTCACTTGGCTTTTATTATGAGACTTTTTTTTCTTGAAAGCTTTGGGGAAGTTTTCAATTTGTGCTACCATCATTGTTAGCTTCTGAAGGAAGTCGCTCATTCTGAAACCCATTGTTTGCAGTCTATAACATAATCAGAAAATTCAAAAGGACAACAAATAGCTTGGCAACTGTGTTCTTGTGACATACAAAGACATTAGCAAAAATATGTAACAAAACTTACGGAAAACAAACAATTTTGTCCTTATATAGAGAGTTTCCTTTCTTCCTCAAATCCTCACAGCCTACTCTAAAATGTGGGTGTGTGTGTGGGGTGGGGGCTGCTACCAATCTCTCAGGGGGAGATAGAAATCCTAAAAGGTAAGGTAACTACTTCAATCGTGTTGTAACTGAGTTATAAAAATTGCATCTGGGCTTCTCACAAAGAGGGAAAACTAGGAAAGATGAAAATGGCTGTAAAGTAAAGAATTCATCCGTTTGTCCTTTGCAAAGTCTCTTAACTCAACAGTTAGAGGGTAAAACGATGACATGGTGACTGCGGCCTGAGGGCACAGAGAGAGGAGCGTCTTGGGGAACACACACCACCAGGCTGTCTAAGCCTCACTCTGCGCATGCACAAGGTCCAGGCTGGTGGAGCTGACACCTGGGGGAGAGGTCCCAGCACACGGAAATGTCACCGACACTGTACCCAAACACAGGGGCAGGAACAACACGTGGAGTCAGAGGGAGACCAAAACCAAGTTTAAAACCGTTTCAAAGCCAAGGGCCATATTTACTAAAAACTGACAAGTGACAACTCTGTAGAATACATTGTAAACATTGACAATGCGGCTTTATGTAACTCACAGTCTCAAAAGAAAATAAATCTCTGGTTTATCATCACTGCTGGGCTCAGTGTGCACAAAAGAATCATCGGAACCAAAGCGGTGGGTCCGGCGGGAGCGCAGGGCTGCGCAGGCGCACGCGCCCTCGGGGGGGCCCCTGCCATCGCCACCAGGCAGGTGGGCGCCGGGCAGGTGAGCGCCCGGCAGATGCAGGTGGGCCACATAGGAGCCCGTGGAGTGCCGGGTCCCCGCGGGTGCGGGTGCCGCGCGCTTGGTGCGCAGAACCACGCCGCCCGCAGCGCTGGGGTCCGCGCCCCGGGGCCGGCCGGCCTCCTGCCGTTCCCTGGCCCGACTGGCAATGTTGCGCACCCTGCTCTGACTTCTGGAGGACAGCTTTCTGACCAGCACCCTGGGGACCTGACCGGTGTCCTGCTGTGAACATGACGCCGGGCAGCCGTCATCCTGGTCGAAGGACACGAGCCGGCGCAGCTGCTGGGTCAGGGCATCCGCCGGCCCCAACGACGCGGTCGGCACGCGCACACCCTCCTCCTCTCTGGCACCCGTCGCGATAAAACTCTTACTGATGCACTGGTACGTGCTTTCGAAACTGCAGGCGATGTCTTCTGACGTTAGGTCCCCCAGACTTTTGGACTTGCAAGGACTGGGCAGCTTCATAGCAGGCAGAGGAGCGCGTGTGGACCATGGGGGCGCAGGGGCATGCACGTCCGGAGCACTGGACAGGGGCACACAAGTCGGGTTTGTTTTTGCTTCTGAATTTGAGAAATGGTCATACACAGAACCAGCACCCTGACGGGCTAGACAAGAAACACCCTGATTTCTGACATCCTGAATGCTGCTGAATATTTCAGGGACAGGAGGGCGCAAAGTCTCCTTACAGTAGCCGTTTCTCAAGCCTTTTTGAAAATGTCCCACCGCATCCTGACTGTACTTCAGTTTTAAAGGAGAAGCAATGTGACTTGTGCCCTCTCTCCTAGACTCACAGGCTGTCACAGACAGGTTTTCTGAGTCTCCATCCAGTTCCACGAGACTGCTCTCTGCAGAATTGAAACAGAGAGTGGGATCAGCGATTACACCTTCCAGCGTCAAGTCCGCGGCCGGGGCCAGGCTGCGCGCCTGCACCGTCTCCAGGGCCTCTCCAGGGGCGGGGCTTTTTGGTCCCCAGCAGTGAGAAGTACTCGAGGACCGGGGCAGGTTGCCTTCCACGGCCCTGGTCTTGGCCTTCCCAGGAGGGGCGTCATCCAGCTTGGTTTTCCAAGCAACAGTGCAGGTGGTTTCACAGACACCTGGGCGCGCTGAGCGTTCGCACGTCTCAGGACTCGAGGATGGCAGCAGCGCAGGGGGCGAGCTCAGGAAGGGTGACTCGGGTTTTCCCGTGGGAAAGCCACACTTGACGGGCATTTCCAGGTCCGCGGCGGGCAGGGGAGGACGGCCTGGCCTCACACGGGTGCTGTGAAGATGAGCAACAACTGTGAGGCTGGCCTGGTCGCTGGTCTCCTCGAACTGGCCAATCAAGGCCGAGATGGAACTGCCCGGCTCGTTCTCGTTAGTCAAAGTGACGTCGTCGATGAGACGGGAAATCTCACTCTCCTGCAGAATCGCGGTGGAGTGTAAGTCAGGCGCGTCGGCGCAGAGCGCCGAGATGTCAGACAGAGAAAAGGATGCTGCGGCTCTGCCCGGGTCCCAGGTGCCGCCCAGGGCCTTAATCTCCAGACTGCTCTGAGAAAGGAGGCTTCTCCCTTCCGCAGGAATCCGGGCATCCACGTGCTCCTTAAATCTCACAGCACACGGATCTCGTGTCGGGTCAGGTGCAGGATCCGGAGCCCAGTGCTGCCTCGGGGACAGCGACTTGCTGGGGCTGTGGTGTTCCTGGCAGTCCCCTGCCACGTGCGATCTGGCCCTCCCACCCGCGGGGCCTGGCGCTGCCCACTGCCCTCCTGGGACCAACATGTTGGCAGTGGAAACAGGGGAGTCCCGTAGGCCGACGTCCTTGGGGAGGAGAGCGCTGGAGGAAGAGGACAGCTTTTTGCTGAAATTTGGAAGCCGTGGGTCTTTCATACCTGCTGCCCCGTCTCTTGCGCCGTCCTTCCCTGCTGCCAGATGAAACAAACAACACTTTAGGCGACGTGCACACACTCACGTTTGCCTTCAGACAGACAAATGAGAATGTAGATCTGTTACATCGTGACAGAATAGTCATGGATTGTGTAGATTCGCAACAAAGTGTCTGTGTGATGAATAAATGGTAAATATATTTATAGGGGTTTCACTGAAGCTTCCCTTTGAATGTCTATTACATCAGCCAAGGATGTAATATTCATTGTGAAAACATGTCAATGAGTTACCACACTTCACAGTGAAGATTACCTTCCGTTGTGTCCTATTCAGAATTGTACTACACAGAAGCATGGCAACAAAACAGAACAAGACAGCTCTGTTAACAAAGGGCTGTGGTACCTGTAAGAAGATACTGTAAACTTCACAGAGATACCAGGACTAGCAAAAAACCACCAATCATCATTTCGAAAGACATTTTGGCAAAAGATCTAATTTAACCAATTAATTTCTAAAAGAAATTGGCAAGTACAATAAAAGTATTAAAATTTCAGTATCTGTTGACTTTAAAATGTAAAAATAAAGAATTGGTCACCAATTCTATGCCATTGCTAATATCTAATTTTCTGTTAATCATACATATTTCTATTTTTAATATCCAAATTTCGTACTGCATTCTCCCCTAAAAGAGGCAGTAAGATATCAGGCACAGTAAGGAAAACTATAAAAACACACGCTTCACAGTAATTTGGGGTACCCATCATGCTTGCTTCAGTACTAAAACAACACTAGGTGTTCAATCAAGTGTTCTGGACCTTATTATTTTCATAGTTTTTTAATAGTTTCAGTCATGAGATACAAGAAAGAAGAACTTGACTTACTACTTTTCTAACTAAAAGAAAATCATAAAAATTTGATAAACCCAGAAATTATAAGGAAAAAAATTAAATATCTATGATGTTACCACTCAGAGGCAGACACTGTAAGCTTTGTAGAGGGATAGAATTATGGATAGAACTTTGCATTCTGCATTTTCTCCTCTTAGTATTTTTTCTACATTCTAACTTGGATCATTGCATGGCTATGTAATGCTCCACATGTACAAGTTTTATATAAATATGTATATACATGGATGACCAACTTGCATAACTGCTTTTTAATGGGAGGAAAGAACCATCGCCTCCATATTGCTTTCTAATTCAACTCAGTGATATTAACATCTTAATTGTGGCATTAATAGGATAAATCATAACTAATTTCTATTGAATATAGCTGCATTTCCTCCAAAAATGGAGTTTTAAAATAAATTTTAAAGTGTATATTTCATCTCTTCTTTGATACTGCTCTTAGCAAAATTTGAAACTTTTTTTTCACTTTTTTTGAGGAAGATTAGTCCTGAACTAACATCTGCCGCCAATCCTCCTCTTTTTGGTGAGGAAGACTGGCCCTGAGCTAACATCCGTGCCCATCTTCCTCTACTTTATATGTGGACTGCCTGCCACAGCATGGCGTGCCAAGCAGTGCATAGGTCCACACCCAGGATCTGAACTGGGGAACCCCAGGCCACAGAAGCAGAACATGCGAACTTAACCACTGTGCCACTGGGCTGGCCCAAAAATTTCAAACTTTTAAACTCCCTTTTTCTCCTTCATATAAACCATTCAAAAATTGGTTTCTCTCCCTAGAATAACTTACAATAAAAATCAATACAAGCAAAATGGTGTTTGTGAGAAAACAGATCACTGGAATTAGGTCATACGATAAAAGGAGAATTTTGCTAAAAGAAACAAGTAGTCATGCGTCACCTCTGGATGGGACACATTCTGAGAAATGGGTCATTAGGCGACCTGGCTGCTGTGTGGGCATCACAGCATGTCCTCACACACACCTGGGCGGGCAGCCTGCCACACTGGGCGACACGGCGCTCATCTCATGGGAGCATCATCATACACGTGGCCCGTGGTTGACAAAAATGCAACTATGTGGCACACAATTGTATCGCATTCTACTCGTCTGAGGGATTCTGATCCAGTTAGAATACACTTGTTGCAGAGACATCAAATGGACACCTTTTGGTGCTAAATTACCTGGAAGAGCAGGGGAGCCCCCACATGAGCCAGGAGCTCTGGGGCACCGCACGCAGGCGTGGCTCTTTATCGAGCTCCTGATGAGGTGAAGCCTTGTGCTCAAACTAGGGGAGCAGGAGGGGGACCCATTCCTGAGCCTGAGCGGCCCACAGCTGCACAGGAGCGCGACCCCTGCGCCCCACACCACCCCGCATCAGGGGAGCGAGGCTCAGAACTGCTGCGCTGCCTCTGGAGAAGCAAAGGCTTCTCAGGCGACAAGGGGTTTGCTTCTCACATCTGGCTTCTCCTCCTTCTCCACACACGTTCCCAGTCGCGGAAATGTGTCTCATGGTGGGGACAGAAACAGCTGTACTCAACCTCAGAAGAGTCAACAGAATCTCATTCACCCTCAGAGCACTCAGTAAACGTGGTGCCCACTGGGCAGCAGGACAGCAACCCTCCGTCCACCGCACCTGCAGACCCATAGGTGCTGGCCATTGCACCTGAGACCCCTCATCCCTCTCCGTCAGTGTCAGATAGCTAGGCTATTGTCCAGCGCTAGGTGACCAGGAAATTGCTCTGGACCACCCTCTCTCCAAAGCCTGCAATTTGGTCCTAAAGAAAACCTTAAAAATTATAACTTTTCGGTATATTTTCCTTTGCCTACAAAACATTGACCAGGTCATAATGGTAACCAGGGACCTGAGTGCGGCTGTACAGTTTATCCTCAGAAGAACTCAAGGTGTCTTACCCGGAGGGCTCTCCTTCCCTTCAGCAGCCTCGGCCACTGCGGGCGCGGGTGGCCAGGCCCCCAGCAGGGTCCTGCCGACAGGCATGGACACAGGGCGCGCCTGCAGACTCCGCGCCGTCCTCCTCAGGACCCCGTCAGGCTCCCTTGCAGGTTCACATACGGACTCCTTTATCTCCACCATCTCATGGAAGCCTGTTTTGCTCTTTTTCCTGCCTTTGGCTGGAGCGCTGGCTGTGCGTCGCAGAATCCTGTCCCCGAGTGACCGCTTCCGCATGCTATGGGGGTTGCTATCGGAGGCAGCGAGCCGGGGGTTCTTGTGGAACAGGCCCTTCAGGCCTTGCAGCTGCCTGCTCTGTGGACACAGAGGACCGAACACAACTTAGGTGGATGCCGCAGGGTCAGCAACTTGCCTTTTAAATGACGTCTCCGTGAAAAATGGACACGAAACACACTCCACAGCCACTGAAGAATGTTCACACCAAGCAAGCAGCCGCTCACAGCATGATGACGACGCATGCAAGTCCTGCCAGCCCCTGTGAGGAGGCTGCCTCCCTCCTCACAGCCAAGCTCTCCCCAAGCTCCCCGCCCGCAGCGACGGCACGCTGGGACAGCTCCCCTGAGCAGCCACCTGCAGGCAGGGGCACGTGGGAAGGTGATTAGGAAGGCGAGTGGGAGGGTGAGCAGGCATGCCGCCAGGCTGCACAGCAGGGGATGGCCGGGCCAGAGCCGCACGCGGTCACTACCTTGGTGGCTCCTAGAAAGTGCAAGATGGTATAACTGGGGTTGAGGATTAAAGGGCTCCACTGCAAGGAAAGCAGAACACACAGAACACTGTTTGGGCCTGTTCCAGACGGGGTGTCAGAAAAGCTAAGGGAGAAACGCATTCGCTCCCTGACCCTTTCCTCCACCTCGACACAGGCACAGGCTCCTCACTGCCTGCTGTGGCTCATGATCCTCAACCCAAACAGACCTTGAGAGAACAAACAATGGGACGCACGCCTGGACATTTATGTAGGAGGGAGAACATGGACTTCCTTTTTCAAGTTTTATTTCTGGCTCAAGTTTTAAACAAATTCTGAATTTTCCTGTTTCCCTCAAGCACAAGAAATGCTGCAGATACCCCTTAGAAAACCTGGGATTCCTAGAAATTCAAGGACCTTTTCTCGATCACTTTCATTTGTGTGAATTCAGGCCAGAGGGAGCTCCTAACAGGCAGCACAGCAGGCGCCAAGTGGAAGCTCCCTCGGTGGGAGATGGGCCTCCGCACCACCCCACTGATGGGGGATGGACCCGGCCTGGTCAGGCTGGACCAGCCGCTCCCTGGCCCGCAGCGTGTGGTCACAGTGACAGCAGCCAACATTTCTGCAGTTCACCATGTGCGCCAGGCAACCTTTCTATCCCACGGTCCAGCCGAGGAAGCCAAGGGGGTCACAGCACTCGGATCCCTCTGCAGGAGGAGCTGTGGGCTCGGTGGGCTCCTTGACAAAGAGCCCTGGACATCCCGGGTCCTGCTCACTGCTCTCAGCCTCTCCACATCCTGTCTGGTCCTGAATACTCATCCCAGTGGCCCCAGTAACTAGGCCCGACCAGAGAACAGCTACGATCTGCAGACAGGCCTGAGCTCTCCCGGGAAGGCAGCCGCATCAGGGACCGGAGGACATTTCTGTGGTCCCTTCTTTCAAGTCCTGTGGGCAGCTATAAATTCATTCCTGACTTTAGGTTTCAGTTAAATACAATGGCACTGGATGGAAGCTTCCTGTCTATAACTGGCAGGTTGCTGGGTCTTTTCAACGATTAAAATAAAATCAAAGCTTAACTGTATCTTCATTGTTTTAGCCAAACAAATGATTGCCTGAGAGAATCCTAGTTTGCTCAATTTTCCTAGAGCCCAGAGAGGCCCCTAGGTGGAAGGAAGAGGACACAGCCCCGATGACGGAGGGGCACAGGGGCGCAGCCTGAGCAGGGGCAGCACAGGGCTGGCTGGCTTCCCAGGGGAGCCGGTTTCTGATAAAGAACAGCTTGTGGAGAGGCACATGCCTTTTATGCAATTAGTCAAAATAAGGACCACATATTGCTGCAGGTGGCTTCGAGCCTCTTCCCTCCTCACCTTTCCGCAGATGTCATTGATGGTGATGTGCACAAATATGGATGCTTCTGTCAGTCCTTCAAGGTAGACGTGCCGGTAGCCTGGTGGGAGAGAGGCAGTTTCCTTTCACTGAACCGTGGGTGGCTTTCCCATGGGGGCAACAGGACTGAGTATCTGACCCCACAGGCTTTCCATTTCATAGAGCACGTCAACACGCACATGATCATCGCCAAGTGTTGTGTGTCACACACGCTGAGCATCAACTGTCATGCACGCCATGTTTTAACTCTGCCCAAGAAAAAGGAATGGTCAGTCTGGGGAGCGGGGCAGCCGTACCCACCAGGCACTAAGCTGCTGAAGGTCACAGTTCTTTGCCCAACGAAGTCTCGTCCTATAGGGTCATGATCCCACACGAGGAACCGGACCAAAGCTATTTCTGGCATGTGGACTGTAAACGTCAAGGTTTCTTCCCACATTGGGTTAAATCCTTGGAGAGACAGGAAAAGAAAAATCATGAAAGCAAACAGCCTGGCTAAACATGAACCAGCAGCAACACTGGCGAAAGGGACAGGGAAAACGGCCCACAATGGTGTTTAAACACGCGGAGACAATGGGCTGTCCCAGCACATGCTACCGAAATAAAACCTTGGACTCACTCCATTGCCAGGAAACAGCTAGTAAGAAAAGCGCCCGTCAATTATTACATGATCTCTAATGATCCTTAATGCAAAACCGCACTGCAGAGAAAGCCCTCAGATTCAGATTCAGAATGACTCAGTGTGGTGAAAAGTACCTACAGTTGTGGTCTAAGAATCATGTGTCAGCAAAAACAATCAAGAACGATGCCCCCCCTAGAATCAGCTTCTCGCATACCACGACCAGCTGTGGCAGAGTCACTGTGAGCACTTCGCACGGTGCCGCACAGGCCTGCAAGCCACCGCACGCACACCCTCCTGTCCACCCTTGGACAGACCTCAAGAGGGCGGGCACAGCTTTTGTTTTTTTCTGATTAATAAAAAATATATATTACTGGCTTTCAGAAATATACAACTGTTTAAAATTATACAAATAACACATGCTCTTTTCTTAAAGCAGGAAAGATAAGTATTTATAACTCATTTTATATTTGAGAAAATTGACGCTCAGAGAAAATGATGCGCCCAAGGTCACACCATTAGCGACAGAGCCTAATCAGATGGCACCGTCGATCTCAGTGGCTTCTCAGGAAACAAGACCCTAATACATGAAAGATGATATATTTTCATGGCTACTGAAAATAAATAGAAAGGTATAAAATTCCATTCAAATTCTAAAAGGCAAAAATACACTTATTTCTGGGTAAAATTCAGAGAAAATAGTTATATAAACTGATAAAAATTCAAGTGCTCTATATGTTTCTTTCTCCTTTCTAAAATGAAGATAAGGTTTATTAATAAAGGCACTCAGGGGGCATCAGCCACATAACCCTGTTAAACACCTCAGCTAATGAAATCATTACAGATAAAATCACTGGATGTCCCTCCTGAACAAGAAGGGATTATTATCTTTTTGTCAACTCAGTGATGACCTCTAAATTACTTCTGAGACTAAAAGGATCCACTGAGCAAGGGTAGGAAAACGCAGCACTGGAAGTTTGCCTTCTTTAAGCCTGTTACCCCCTAAGCAGCAGGCTCACACTGCAGCACGCATCAGAAACGCGCTGTTACGCGATTTCATCGTGCAGACGTCACAGGGAGCACCTATCAAACCTAGCTGGTGTAGCCACTGCACACCTGGGCCACAGGGCACTCGTCTTACAGGGCCACCGTCCTACCTGTGGTCCATCGCTGACCGAAACATCATCATGTGGCCTGTGACTGTGCTCCTGAACCCCGACTCCTTTGCTTAAAAGAGCACTTAGAGAAACTCCTCCTGAGGTCTCTTTATGAACATGAGCCCTCTCAAACATTTTGAGGATTAAGGTTTGGATTTATTTTAGAGCACTGATGATGAGAGATAGAGAAGAACAGGTTTGTCACATGTATGAACAAGCACAATTTTAGAAGACTACCGAGAAAAGACAGGAGGCTTGGGTGAAACTTTTTACATGGAACCAAAATACAGCCAGAATGCTGCCCGTCTGCCCCAGGGGCATATTCAGGAAGTCGACCTGCTAGAGCCATGCTTGCCTTTGGAGTTTCACACGCTCCAGAAAAAATGAGATCATCAAGATGCAGGCTCTTGAATGAGAAGATGATATAAAACAGTGTAGGCACTTTCCTGGGGGAAGTTTTAACCCAGCCTTTAAAATATCACTCATTCTTTTTCAAGAGAAAAAAACTTTGCTTCAAAAGCAAAAGTCTTCAGAATCATGGTGACAACATCCACCAGCACATGCTCAGCCCCACATTACTGAGTCTCACGTGCTGGCAGGACCCCGACAGCAACTCCAACGGCAGTGATGGGTTAGGGATTTGCTTCTCCTTCACATAGACACATTTTTCAGTGCAGGTTCTATTTCCACAGCATTCTGATTATAAATAACACAGACTAGCACCTTACCATTGTCATCCACTACACGGGTTTGATCTTTGCAACAATCCACTGGCAATCCAATAATTTCAACTTCAACAAACGGATCGATGATCTATGCAAATAGAGAGTATTATTACAACGGATGCATTTCTACATACGTGTTAATTAATTTGACAATATTGGCCAAAATGTCCACATTTCAACAGCAACCCTTTTATTAGATGCTTACTAAGAAAGAGAAGCTGTACCAGGTGCAACAGACTCACATATATGAACAGGAATGAAAGAAAAGATCAACTTTTTGCTTGCCAATATTTACTAATGCTCCACAAACTACACGTAACGAGCCCAGAACCTAGTTCAAGGTACACACCCACAGAAATGGCAGCGTCTGTCCAAGCTCAGAGCAGCCATGTTCACAATCATCACACACAGGAAACAACGCAAATGTCTCCCAAGAGCAGAATGGATGGACTGGGGAATGTTCACTGAATGAATACTGTACAACAATGAAAAAGAACAGACATAATGTCGAGGAATCCAGACATTAAAGAATGTGCTGAAGAGTCCACTTACACAAAGCCTGAGACAGACAAAACGAGTCTGTCGTGAAGGCTGGTGTCTGCCTGGGGGGCTGGGAGCACATATTTACTGGGAGGAGGATGGAAGGTTCCTGGGGGTTCTCGTATGTTTTGTCTTGACCTGGGTTGCATAATAATTGATCAAGATGTCCACACTTGACTTGTGCACTTTAATGTATTTAAATCAATTGTTACTATAATGTAACTTTAAAAGTAGCAAAAAATAAAAAAGATTAAAAAGGAATCGAAAGAAACGATGTGAGTGTTTAGTCTCCCCATCCCCCTCAGCCCTCTCCTCTTGGGGAGAGTCCCACTTGTTGGTCACCCATAATCTCTTGTTTGTTGTGCAAGTTCTGGATAATAACCAATGAAGGACTAAAAACCTAAAGAATCTGGAAAGAGCTGGTCTAAAAGTCTAAAAGAGAGAGAGTTACGAAGCTTGAGAAGGGACATTTTTAGAAGCATGGAGAGTAAGGAGAATACAGAATTTGGGGAAAGTTTCAGGGAATAAGACCTGGAGGGACAATGGGAAACATGTTAAGACAATTAGGTGGACAGACACAACTAACCATGGCAAAGTTTACTCGCTCTCAGTTAATGACTTTGTGCTAGAAGTCTTTCCCTTGAACAGAAGCCTGTGGTAAAGATGGACCACTGGGAATCTCAGACCTTTGGGGCAGCTAACGAATATGATTTCTCTTCTGAAGGAATTCAAGATGCCTACAGGCTTGAAGAGCACTTCCTGTTTCAGACGTGGCTCCTGAGCCGACCTCAGCAAGTGGTGTGGCCATCTGTGCCTCCGTCTTCTCAGCAACAAACCCAGACAGCAGTGTCTCCACCATCACATTGCAATCTGGGCAAGATGCCAGACGTGGAACTGGACAGTGCAAGCGAGACAGGGAGAGATTTGGGAGGAAGAAGTCCCAGGAGGGCAAAGAAAGAGTGAAATTAAAGACGACAATTTTCTGGTTGGGAGCAAGAAAAACTATTATTTCATTCTCAGAGATATGAACAACATGAGGTCACAGGCTGAGCACTCAGGGAGCTGGACAGGGGAACAAACTGTATCTTGGGGCCAGTCCCGTGGCCTAGTGGTTAAGTGCACACTCTACTTTGGCGGCCCGGGGTTTGCCAGTTTGGATCCTGGGCGCAGACCTATGCACCACTCATCAAGCCACACTGAGATGGCATCCCACATACAAAACAGAGGAAGATTGCACAGAAGTTAGCTCAGGGTTAATCTTCCTCAGCGAAAAAATAATAATAATAAAAAGACAAAACTGTATCTTTATTTTCGTTAGCCTGACTAAAGCATGACATAGCAATTTCATAATGTATAAAAATGTCAAATCATGGGGCTGGCCCCGTGGCCGAGTGGTTAAGTTCGCGCGCTCCGCTGCAGGCGGCCCAGTGTTTCGTTGGTTCGAATCCTGGGCGCGGACATGGCACTGCTCATCAAACCACGCTGAGGCAGCGTCCCACATGCCACAACTAGAAGGACCCACAACGAAGAATATACAACTATGTACGGGGGGGCTTTGGGGAGAAAAAGGAAAAATAAAATCTTTAAAAAAAAAAAAAATGTCAAATCACCACGTTGTATACCTGCAACTATTATAATATTGTACGTCAATTATACTTCAATTAGAAAAGGATGGAAAAAAGAAGAAAGGATAAACATCCTGACACTCCCAAGACAATCCTTCCCGCTGCTGAGAAGAGAACAGAGTGGCAGAGGGAGGCCAGGCAGCGAGGGCCACTGCAGCGGACCAGACACCAGGGGACAGGGGTTTGGACGAGGCTGGAGGCAGCAGAGATGGATACATGGTCCCATCTGCAGCACCTGCTTCCTAAGGAGGAGGACACAGTGCATCTACTGAAGACGAGAGAGAAGAGCTGAGAGCAAATGCTTGAGGAGAGAGGAGCTGCACACAGCCACCGTGGAGAACGTGACTGCAAGCAGGGGAGCACCACGGTGGGCCGAGATCTGAGACGGAACCTGTGGTGGCATCAGACTGCAGACTGACTGGCTCCCATCAACACTGAAGATCCAGAAATCTCAGCTGACAGGTGGGAGTGGCACAGAGCTGAAGCGAGGGATACTCTTGACAGGAAGGATGTGAGCACAGGAGGGGCCGACAGTCAGGGAGAAACGGGGGCCAAGAAGGCTGAGAGCAGGTGTGATGGGGGTGACAGGTGAAAGCTCGGGAGGAGAGGAGGCTGTGCCACAGAGGAGACACCCCAACATCAGGCTGCAGCTGAGGTGACGAGCCAGCATGGGGCCAAGGGGTGGCCAACGTGCAGTGGAGGCGAGGTCACAGGGGGTGAGGGATGCAGTGTTCCTACTAACACCTAAACAGTTCTCTGCACCTCGACTTTAGCCCTGCCTGTGTTGGCCTTGCACTGTGAGTGGGACTGTGTGCACGCAGCCCTCGAAACGGATGGCACACTGCCCCCCACGAGGAGCCACATGGGCTTCGAAATACATCAGTCAGTACTTGTGAGCTGCAGTCAGTACTCGTTATGAACATATGCATACATGCACGCACACACACACGCACACTCACACATGTACGCACACACACGTGCACACACACATGCACATGTGCACACACATATGCACGCACACACAGAGCCCTCAAGACACTTTAGACAAAATGGAAACCAGGAAATAATCACCTAGCGCCCTTGGTCACACGCGCTTACCTCGCCTCGGTCCCCAAACATGGAGTCTGGGGGTTTGGGGAGCTGCTGCCCACTGATCACCTTCAGGACGAGCTGCTTCTTGGGGTTGGCAGGAAGCGGATCACCAGAGAAAGGGTTGAAAGTACCTAAGCCAAGTAAAGCCGAGGTTAAACTCTGACTGGCAGCGTGAGAAACACACACACACACACACACACACACGCAGGAGCCCCATAAGCTTGCAGAGCAAAGAAAGGGCAAGTGCTGAATTCCTAGTGTCTCTCAGAGCAAAGACATGGTCACCCAACCATCGGCATGGCTTCTGCCTGAAGACAGTGCCAGCTGGCACCTCCACGCAGTGGTTCTCGTTAGGACCCAAGCTCCCAAAGGCCAAGGAATGGCCCATTTAGAGCAGATGTCTGCCACACAGTCATCGCCACGGCATGGGGGACAAGGACATTTTACGTGAATGTCAACAGAACAGAGAAGCAGAGTGGTTGCTCAGATTCAAATAATTTTCTAACCTAAACTATCTTGGGGGAGACTGAAGACAACCAACAGGAAGACCTGCCACTGAGAGAACAGCCGAGCAAGGAGACATGCAAGATGTGAAACGCTGAAGACATGTCGTCATCTGAATTGTTAAAAACACAATTTGGAAAATTGTAAAAGGATTTTAATGAGCAGAACCAAGAGAAAGTGTTTTGCCCTAAAACGGCACTATCTTTTCTCTTTGCTAGCTGTTCTGTCACGGGCCCACACTGACTGACACAGCTGAGGGTGTCGTTTCGGGGGATTTTAAGTTTTCGGCTGGTTTCAGACTCACTTTCCCTGAGAGAGCTCCTGTGCACAGGCCTCAGGCCATGCAGTTTACGAGTTACGCCCCATGAACATCATGCTGGGCACAGATTCCAGATGACAGTCCCCTGCTACCCAGGCCCCTCTTCACAGGCATAACCGCAAAAGAGAACGTCCCAGATGTCATGCTCAAAACGTGCAATAGTGTGACAAGTTCTAATTTACACTCCAACACCTCAGTCTACTTCTTTTAAAAAATCATGTTGCAAACACCGGGTGTCGCACTCTCCAGAGAGCTCCTTCAAGAGCCGCCTCCTGCTCTCAGAGACAGGGCTGTGAAGCCAGCACACACCTTTGCACATCTGCTGGGGTTTGAGGACGTAGCCACAGTTGCCGTTGGTTTTGAATTTGGCTCGATTTAGCTGCATCATCCGCCCTTCAGACTGGTAGTTCAGGGCCACTGCACAAGGTCAAAGTGGGAGAGGATTAGGGAGACGCAGCACAGAGCCACAACACGCAAAGAACTGCTGCTCCGCGAGGCATACGCACCCAGCTGGCAGCCCGTGCTCCAGTAGGGCAGAGGGTTGAAGTTGCTGGAATCAATGCGGTAGGCGGAGGGGTAAACCCTTGTGAGCTGCTTCTGGTTGTAAACCATGAACTGCTCTGCCTTCTGCTGAACAACCTGATGTGCTCTTGTTTCACTGAATGACAGCACATTTCCTGTGCTTCCTGGCAGTTTTTAATAAAGAAAAAAGAAACGTGAGTACAGCAAAGAAAACACCACTCATACTAGACCTTATAACATGTCCAGCTGTACCAGGTCAACCCAGGGACACAGGCAGGGCAAAGCGGGTGAGCTCCTGACCGAGCAAGACACAGTAATTCCATTCTCAGGACTCTTCCCATTTGGGGCCAAATCAGAGCTGTGCATCTTCCTAGGAGAACTGCTTATTTGTGCATCCACATTCTCCAAGAATTCAATCACCTCACTCATCCGTGTCCACCTGGGAGCACGAAGAGGGCAGGCAGGTAAATTATGTTTTAGGTGCGTGAGTCAAACGAATATCTTTGCCAAAGATGTAGACAGTCATGGATAAATAAAACTATCTATGTAACTTATTCTGGCAACAGGGAGACAGTCATTGAAGGTATTCCTCTCAAAGGCAACATGTGAAATACGTATTAACTGATTGGATTCAAGGTCCAAGAAAATGAAGGAAAAAATCCAGTTCCAAAAAAGAAAAACTGAGTTTTAAAATTAATTTAAATAGATTTATGGAATCAGTTAAAAGCTGTTGGAAAAAGAAAATAATGGAGAAAGAGCTCGAAAGAGCATTATAAAGAAATAAAGCTTTGGCACAATCATCAAGCTCACCAGGTTTATAAATAATGGAAAAATACTGAGGTGAAAGACCAGGAAGCAGATAGTAAAGTTTCTGCTTGGACTTTCATCAGGGCGGTCAACCCAGGGCCGAGGAAGCTGCAAGTTTGGGGTCACGATGGGGTCAACGTCCAAATGCCCCACTTCCACCCTTTTCTCCCATCCCATCTCTCATTGTAGACACAGTCTTCAATGCTCCCACCACACCCACACCCCCACCAAACACCCACTCCCCACCCCAAACGACCTCCCCTGCGGCTTCTGGACCCACTGAAAGACGGCAGTCTAGGGAAGATCCAGACCTGCGCGGAGCTTCAGTTTCACTCCAGCATGCACAGCAATGAGCCAAGTGTGTCTGCCCCCGCCCCGGGGGGACAGGGCCCTTGAAACCAGGGGCTGACTATCGTCTTGCTGGGCCAACTGGGCCTGAACTGTATGCGGACGGTGCGTGTTCAGTGCACACAGTCTCCCAGGGCCCCTTGTCCTTCGGTTGTGCACACTTGGATATTAAACATGGCCAAATGACTGACGGTTCCCCCCTCCAGGGTGGGAACTTGAACAGTCACAAACTCAGGCAGAGGCAAAGGGAGCAGGGAATTACAGGTTCAAGCTGAAGAATCCCCTCATCTTGACTTTCTCCTTATCATACATATTTTATTGACATATTGACATAACACAGTTTACACGTCCTGAGATGCTAAGCAAGACCTCTGCAGATTGTGGTGGACATGCTTTGAACATGAGAGCAGACAATATCATAGCCTTTTTCTTTTTTTTTTCTGAGGAAGTTTGGCCCTGAGCTAACGTCCGTGCCCATCTTCCTCCACTTTATATATGGGACAGCTGCCACAGCACAGCTTGACAAGCGGTGCATAGGTCCGCACCCGGGATCCAAACCAGCGAACCCCAGGCCGCTGAAACAGAGTGCGCAAACTTAACCACTGCTCCACCAGGCCAGTGCCAAGATCACAGTCTTTCTGACGAGCCACATTCAGATGGTGGAGCCCTGTGGCCAGCACCACTGTTTTCCCTATCCCTCGACATAAATATGCACGCCGCGTTATCATCAAGTTGCTCTGCATTAGGATAAGCCACGAACTCATTATCTACTGCTCATTTTGTGGTTAAAAACAAACCCACACACAAAAGACAAAAACAGCTAAATTTCAAGAGCCAAGTAGGAGTAAATATTATTCCCACTAAGCTAATACAATTATGCTTTCCCAAGGCCTTTATCAGAAACTCTACTGCTCTAAACCAAATGCACATTTAACTCCACTAAACCACTGCCTGCGCCTCTCTGAGCCGTGGGCAGTGAGCCCAAGAACGTGCTGTTCACCTGCTAGGCCAGTGACAGTGTCTCCTGTTCTCACAGGAGAAATTAATTTAGACTTTTTATAACTGTCACCATTTGAAGAAAGAATCAACACCAAAGGCAAGAAAACCTGCAGACAGAAAAAGATACCCTTGTGGAGCGGGGAGAAAGGACTGCCAGAGGATCCAGAGGTCGTGGAGGTCGCAAGGCTCAGGACACGCTGCTCCCTGCCACCAGGGGACAAGGACACAGGCTCTGACTCCACCTCAGCTCCACCAGAGTCAGGCCCAGACGGAGCGCCACAGACACGGTTTCCTTCTGAGGCGCTCACTGACTGAACGGATTCAGACCAAAGGAAGAGGGAAAGGAAAGGACCAGCTGGGAGTCCGGGGAAGAGCAGCGCGAGCAGGACTCTCAAGACACAGCGACGGCGGTACGAACGGCAAGAGAGGCAACACCTCTGAAATTTCTGCTTTTTGTTAAAACGTCAATCTGTGGGTTAAATTATTTCCATCACAGTCAAAATTTCCAATGAGAAAATAGGGGCTTTTCGAAGAGTTATTTTAGCCAATTAATTTCTTCCTTCCCCTGGTCACTGGCACTGGCATGGGCACCTGTGAGCTGGGGAGACCTGTCTGCTGCTCTTGTCTTTGCACAGTAACCACGACCTCCCTGGCCCTCTGGTCACTCAGGCAACCACGGTAACCAATAATCAACAGAGCCTCCTGTGCGCTCAGCATCGCACGGGTGGGCAGTCTCCAGACAAGCAAGGAGGATTCGACCCGGTTCCCGGAATTTGTGATGGCGCCCGACAGACAAGAGACAAGTTAGCAGTTGACAAGGAAAGGCCAGGAATGTTCACGCAGAGGAGAAACACTGAGTCCTCACCATCGTCCATGATGTCCTGGGCTGCCACAGAGTTTGTGTACACAACCAGATCTGAGAGCTCTCGGCACAGCTTCATGGTTTTCCTCCGGCGACCAAGCCTGTGAAAACACATCCCGACTTAGGAGGTTTCAGAGCTGAAGAGGCTGGGGTTTTGTCCCTCCACTCCCTCTCCCGGATCCAACAGAGCCAGGACCAGAAGCAGGCACAGGTCCCAGCTCAGCACCCACCCGTGATTTATTCACCGCTCAGCCAGGAATCACAGTTTCTTCTCACGTGTTTGTGAGTTCCTTCATGGGGGCTGCCTCCCACTGCTCCCGGGCTAGGGGGCAACACCAGAGTTCTCAGGGATCTGCTCTGCTTTGGCAGGAGGAAACCTGGACTGAAGTATAGAAACACTGCCGTGTGGGTTGTGAGAATCTACATCTGCAGGGAAACCTTCAAATTTCCATAGTGATTATCCTGCGGAGGGGCAATTACAACTGATTTTTAAAATTTCCTTCTCTATGCTTTTTCTATATTCTTCAACTTTCTTAAAACAAACATCCATTGCTTTGTTCTCTCTCCTATACACCACTCCTAGGATCCCCTCTACAAGGCTACAGACTCTACCACTTCTCCTTGCTCCACAGACCCACATTCTCCTCACAGACACACTTCTCTCCTCTAGTGACCCCTAACTATCAGAAACTCTAATCCTCAGGAAAGGAGATACACAAACAGCCAATGCACTCATGGAAAGATACTCAGCATCACTAGTCATCAGGGAATGCAAATCAATCCACAATGAGATACCACTTCACACTCACTAGAATGGCCATAACCAAAAGCAGGCAGTATCGTGTTGGCAAGGAGGAGGGGAAAGGGGAACCTCACACGTTGCTGGGGAATATAAAACAGTAAAACTGCTTTGTCAAGACAGTTTGGCAGTTCCTCAAAAAGTTAAATGGAGTCACCACGTGACCCAGCAATTCCACTAAGTATGTACCCAAGAGAAATAAAAACACGTCCACATAAAAACTTACACACAACAGCCAAAACAAAACAGCCAAAGAGCAAGAACAACCCACATGTCCTTCAACTAAGAGTGGGTAGACAGAATGCAATCCGTCATATGAGGGAATATACTCAACAGTGAGAAGGACTGGAGCACCGACACCTGCCATGACAGGACGAGTCCTGAAAACCTCACACTGAGCCAAAGAAGCGAGACACAAAAGGCCAAAGGTTGCATGGTTTTGTTTATACGTAATAACCAGAAAAGGCAAATCTAAAAGACAAAGTAGGTTGGTTGGTGCCAGAGACTGGGGGTCGGCGGTGTGAGGTGGCTGCTAAGGGTAGAGTTTCTTTTTGGTATGATGAAAATGTTCTGGAGTTAGATGGTGAAGATATGGATTTATTCACCCAATGAGGACCTATCGAGCACCTACTGGGGATAAGATAGTGAACAATCAGACAAAAATCCTCACCCCAATGGTACTTATATGCATCCAATGAAAGAACTAAGGCCAAAATGCACCAACAATTCATTTTGCCAAGAAAGGAGACAGGAACATATACAGGGATAAAAACCAACATGACGAAAGAGTGCATGTTCCTAGTTATTGCATAATCAGGGAATTCTACAGCCATTGATGAAAATCTGGTTTTGTGAAGGCTAACAATTATAAATCCTGTGAGGTCATGCCTAGAAGTTACAAGTGAAACTCCAAGACACTCCATGAAACAGAGAAGTTCTGTTTAATCCTTGTCCTGGGAGGAGATTGGTTTACTGAAGTCCCAAAAGGACATCGTCACAGCTGTTCAGGCCTTGATAGCTGTATGGGCAAACCTCTGCGTGACCCCAGCACTGCATGACATGACTTCATGTGACACCTGTACCGATGTCCCGTTTGTGCAGTTGAGGCTGTCCTGGTTTTCCTCAAACGCTGCCCCTTCTGCGGCCATGTGGCTCAGAGCTGAGCCTTCCTCACACTCACATTTGACAGAATTCACAGCAGAGGGCTCCGGGAAAGTGACCCCATTTCTCTTTAATTCTCTACTACAACTACACATTGAGTTTTCCCTACCCTACCAGCAGGGACCACACATCCCTTGTGCGCTTGCCAGTCAGTTACTATTCTAGGTACAGACATTCTCTCGAGGTAAAGCTTACATGTAAAATCTCACTAGACACTGAATGCACTCCGTCCCCACAGGACCTCCGAGGTTCCGTCCTTTAGCAAAGGTGCAAGATGTGTCGGGGTGCGCATGCGCATGTTTTTGTGTATCTATCTGTGACATGATCTCCACTCCTTGGTGAGACGATGTGTAACATAGACTGCCAGAAAACCCTACATCAGATGTCGTGTCACAGTATGGCCTCTGAAATATGGTCACTTCACTCATCCCAAGTTCTGTCGCCAATAACACAGAAGACAGCAGCTAGTATTCTGAGTGCTTAGTTGACTAGGGTGTGGCTTATCAGCCTGAGTGGTTTAACTCCTTACACTGATTCCAAAAAACAGAAAGAAACGAGGAGCCTAACTTGTCCCCGTTAGAGCTGGAGGAACAGGAATTTGCATCTGGAAACTCCAGACACCTGGCTCCTCACCAGCTTATCCTCCATCCTCTCCTCTAGTCTCAGGGGAGCCTGGATGAGCTCGTGCCCCCTCTTCTCGGAAGACATGGCCAGCATTTACAGAGAGCTGGCTTGGCGCCAGGCCCCATGCATTCTCATCTTGTTCCAGGCGACCTTCGCACATCCCTTGCACTGAGCACTCCCCCTGCGATCCAATTCTCTAGACACACACAACCAAGACAGCCAAGCTGAGGGGCAGGGCCCAGGGATTCAGCTCCTCACCTGGAAAGCGGGCTGGGCTCCTTGCTAGGAGGCTGCTGTGCGTCCTCCTCGTCATCAGTACCGTAAGATTTAGACCGTGATTTTGTGGTTTTCTGCTGGAAAAATCACAGAAACTTAACAACAAAGTCACTGCATCAGGGACATCTACCACACACAGACAAGGGATTGGTTTTAAAACACACACACACGCACAAGGATGGTAACTTAGAGGAACAGAATGGACCACATATTGCAGCCTGTGTCACCACTGACAAAAAGCATGTTACGGCCGTGATTACACTAAAATACAAAGGCAAAACTGATTCTCACACTCTAAAACTGGCTTCTAAGCCACACGACACACAGGTCCTAGAAAGACCTCACTAGTCAGGTATCAAGGGTCTCCATGAGGATCATAGTTGTAACATCTATTTAAATGATTATAAGGGTTAAAAATCCTCTTATATAGGAAGCTTGTGTTCCTACTGAATTACGAAAGGCAGAATTGATAAGAAAGACAAGCAGTACTTTTTGTCTAACGAATAACTACCGTCCCTGCTTTTGATCAGAATGCACTCTAATAACCATCTGCGTCAACTGCTCTGTCGAGCTTTAACCCATTTTACTTTCTAGCAGCAGAATGAAACCCACTACCCAGGGGATTCAGGTTGAAAGGCTGAGAGTAATGTGGGGTCTTCAGGACAGACTGGCTGTTAACATAAAACTTTCCAGGATGACATGGTTTCATCCCCGCCACACTGGAGACAACCCCAATATTCAGCAACATGTACCTCAACAATACAAATCATGGAAAGGGACCCCAGTAACGGCAGGAAACCTTGCCACCAAAAGTACAGCTTCCACAAACAGGGAAGAAGAGCTGTAGATGGTCTCCTGGACATGGAGGCAAGGGGCTCAGAGAGGGAAGGGCCCTCCCACATCACCACGGCCACACACTGCCTTCCAGTCTCTCACCCTCAACGGAGAAAAACAAGCTACACCGTTGGCATAAACACACTCAACCCTACTGCACTGACAGCGAGGCATCAATTTAGTCTGGAACCTTCTCAGGCATAATCTGTGCCTCGAGAACCTCGGTGCTCACAGTGGGGACCCAAGCATCCGATGACTGATGTCATTTCCAGCCGGCCTCTCACAGCTGGCAGGTCGGCTGCCCTCTCCAGCTTCCTACTGTGTTTTTGTTATGAAATATTATTAAAATAACCTATAAGTAGTCCTGTGGGCATTCATTCTTATGAGTTGAGGCATAATAAATTCTAATTCTCTAGTAGCTAAAGTACTCCCCAAAATACTTACTCTAGAAAATAATTTTAATTTAACGAGTAGTTTGTAATCAAGAAATGAAACATTCTCTAATTCCACATATAGTTAGTAATTTGAAGTATTACAATAATAAATCTAGCTTTTTAAAGTTCATTTTTAAATGTAAAATGCAAAAAGTAGAAATAAGTAATGAATCACCAACGACAGATAATATTTGGAGAAATGACGACTATTTTCTTTGCATAGTTTGGCACCTCTTGTCATGGTGACAAACCACATCACCGATTTTCATCTTACTTTCCCTGTGTGCGTGTGTTGAACTCAGCAGCATGGTCATCTTTTAAAGGCTGCATGACTGTCTGTAACATGAATGAACCTCGGTTTACCTAAGCAGTCTTTATGGGTGAACGTTTTGATTCTCTTCAGTTTTTTATTATAATGACTATTTTGTCCAGCCTTTTAATAAATTATCCTATTGATGGGGTAGGAAATTCCAGGTACAATATTCCTTAAAGCACAAGAAAAGGCCTTACAGAAACCTCAGGCGTAGAGTCCACCATCCAGTAACTGATGTCTTAATGACACGTTTTATCTTGTTAGTGAAGTCTAGTGACACACGTGTACAGAAGCACACCACCCTCACTGCTCATGGGGACCTTCCGGCAGTGAAACCCCCAGGTAAGGAAACGGGAACCTGATTCTCCCATCAGTCATCTCTTCTCCCCTCAGGCAACTCTACCCTAACTTCTACACCAGAGATTCTTTTTGCCTGTTTTGAGCTTCATATAAATGGAATAAAACTGAGTGTATTCTCTTGGGCCCGACTTCTCCTGCTCAATGGCATGTTACAAAGATTGTTTTGTTGCACGTAGCTGTAATTTTGTCATTCTCATTGGTGATTAATATAGTCCCTTATGTGGATACACCACAGTTTGAACTGTTTCCTGCTTGTCCTATTACAAATGATGCCACCATGAATACTGTTGTCTTGGTCCCATGACACACACCTAACCATGCGGCTGGTAAGGCAACACCCGGTGCAGCCTCAGCGGATCCTGTGGAGCAGGCGCCAAAGCAGCTGCTCACACGCGTTCCCTTTAGCCATGCAGGCCCCAGCTCCCGTCTTCAGTGCCTGCTGCTGTCAGTCTCCTTGTGGTTGCAACCGTGGCAGGCAGATGTGGGCCCTTGTTGCCATTTTGACTGGCACTTCCCAGATGATAGAGAAGGCAAGCGGCTTTTCCGAGTTGGCCATCTGGAGACCTTCTTTTATGAAGTGTCATTAAGTTGCCCATTTTTTAAAAAATCAGGATGCTTGTGATTTTTAGTGATTTGTAGGAATTCTTTATGAATTCAGAATTAAGTCCTTTGTTGGGTGTGCTTTTACTGACATGTTTGATGAACAGAAGTTCTCAACTGTTAAAGTAGCTTAATGATCAAGCTTTTCCTTTTCTGGCATCCTGTCTGGAAATCTTCCCTTATCCCAGGGTCACGATGATCTTCTCCTGTTCCCCCAGGTCGCTGCATTAACTGAATTGCGCACACTCATCACCCCAGCTCCTACCTTGTATTTCCCAAAGTTGGTCATGAGGGATCGTCCGTGCGATTTCTTCCCACTTTCCTTCACATCTGGGTGCTGCGTAAACAAAGTAAATGTGAGTGTTTTTATCCTCTGCTCTTGAGTCTCCCTTAGATCTGGTGGAACGGCGGGACCCTCCCTCTGCCTCTCGGTGGAAAGCAGGCGGTCCCCCTCACCTCCTCCTGCTCCACCCGCCCCCTCAAGGCAGCTGAGTTGGTTGAAAGAGGACACTGGCGTGGAGAGGCCTGGGCAACCGCCTGGACACAGCACCCACCACGGCTCCCCAGGGCGGGTTCCAGGCCTGGGGGCAGCGCCCACCCCACAGGATGAATCCTTGAGAGCCTGAGTTGGGACAAACCGTCTTAGGTCAAAGGAGATGTAAATGTGGAAGATGGGCATCCTTCAGCGCCAGCTGTGCCGAATAAGGCAAGTCCCCACATTCACTGAATCTGCTGTTTGGGATTTTAAAACATTCAAAATAGACAAAACCCAAACCCATCTATGAGGTACTAAGTCGTTGTGTTTGCTTATTTAAGTAAACCACAGCAAAGCCCTCTGTTTCCTGGTATCACCCCCTCTGTTGCAGCCCTGGGAGGAGGGGTTACAGCCTCTGAATTGCCCTCACTGGGTTAGTTTTCCAGGTTGGAGCGCTCCCTGTGCAAGCCTGTGTCTCACTCGGGGACAGAAAGGCCACCAGGGTTCAGACCCTCATTCCACTGTCATCCTGATGCGCATGTCAGGTGGTCCCTGCACGACCTGGTGTAGGGAGAGCATGGCGCCTGCCCTCTCAGGAGCTCCCAACAGACAGAGAGAAGCAACAAATGGAGTCGACACAGGCAAGCAAAACCACATGGAATCCAAAGTCAGGGAGGGCGTCTCCACATATGCATGGAGGCTCATCAACAATGCCATTCAGGGGGCCAGCCTGGTGGTGCAGTGGTTAAGTTTGTGCACTCCGCTTTGGTGGCCTGGGGTTCACAGGTTCAGATCCTCGGCACAGACCTACACCATGCTCGTCAGGCCACGCGTGGCAGCATCCCACATAGAGAATAGAGGAAGATGGGCACAGATGTTAGCTCAGCAACGATATTCCTCCCAAAAAAAAAAAGATGCAATTCGGGTGGGGAGTGGGAACTGAGAAGGAGCTGGGAAGGAGGGAGCTCAGAAAATGCTGGCAGGGTTGGGGTAGGAGTCACAGGGGAATGTAGTTGACTGGTTTACGTGTATTGATGGCCTCTGAAGATTTATTAAAGCCAATCGTGAATTGTTCAAAGTCCCTGGAATTAAGTCACCAGATGTGGCCACAGAAGTAGACTGCTCCCCAGGCCAGGAGACCCAGTGCTGCCTCCAAGGAGCTGACGTCCTCCAGAAGCCCCTTCTCTGGACCTCAGTTTTCTCTTCTGTGAAACGAGGGAAGAACAGGCCAACTGACTTCTGAGTTCCTTTCTACTTCTGATAGCCCATCAGGTGGTAAGGAGATCACGTCACCTATTGTCTAAAACAGGGCCTTTTTAAGAGTGGGGTGAGTAACCACGCTGGGACAGTAAGGCAGGGCTGCCCCAGGCAGTGAGGTGGAGGGTCATCCTCCTCAGTGTGCACCTGCTCTGTCCTGAGGGTGACATGCAACATATACTCTCACTTAACACACACGGCCACCCCGGATGTAAGGATGATGAAACCCCGACCTCACAGACAGAAAAGGCTGAAGCAGAGTGAAGTGAGACGGCACGCCCAGGGCTGCCCAGCCAGCTGGTGACAACACAGGGGCCCTGTGTAGCTGCCTCCACTCTGGCTCTCTCCCCTCCCTGATCCCTCCGGCTCCGGACCCCTTTCAGTACCACATCCCTCACTGAAGTCACGGGTCAGACGAGGTGCTGGGAACTTGGCACGAATACAAGGGTGACAGCGAGAGCAGACTGTCCACGCTGGGCTGCAGTCTAAGGGCAGAGCCAGTGATCAGAAGACACTGAAGAAGGGCATGACGGGGAGGCTCCGGGCCCTGCGGGATGGCCCAGAAACACCACCGACCCAGACTTGAGGGTCAAGGACGCCTGCCAAGGGGATGTGATATGAAAGCTGGAGCTGGAAGCTGGTGGATGTTATCTACATGAGTGAGGAGGCAGAAGAAGCAAGCCGCAACAAGGAGCCGACACAAAGCCAGAGCTGAGGACCAGGTGCCTTCCAGGAAACAAAGACTGTGGAGTGCACGTGCTGCACACCTGCACATGGGCGGACGAGTCGGAGCTGGGGCTGTAACATGGCAAAAGGATCTTTTGGGCTATATCCTGGAATTTGAACTCTATCCCCCAAGTTATGATGCGCCTTTGAATGGTTTAAAACAGGAGAATGACATGGTCAGATGCACATTTCTGGAATACCACTGTGGCAGTGGGTCGTACAGATGGGGGACTAGAGAGGGCAGGACAGTGGGGGCTGGAAATGTCCAGTCAGGGAACAGTTATGGCATCCAGACAGCTGCCACCGGGATGCAAAGGAAGGAGCAGACTCGAACCTCCTGGAAGGCAGCATCCTTCAGGGTCTGCTATGCTCTTCGGGCCCAAGGGATGGGAGCCTCACCCTCACTCTCTGCAGGCTCTCCAGGGAAAGGACGGACAGCAGCACAGGGTGCCAGAGCACCGAGCCATGGCCCGGAGAGGAGGCAGCGGAGCTACAAGCCACCCTGAGCTCTCAGCCCCAGACAGAAGCGCCCACACACATCTGACACAGACGGTCTTCACTCGCCTGTTGAACCAGAACCACCCTTTACAAACCAATACCACAGCAGGGCTAATGCATCCATGCCACCGCCCAGACTTAAGGGAAAGTAACAAGTAAGAAAAGCGATGAGTCTGCCTCACACATCTCTGAGCTCTTGCGGCCCCGGTCTCCCCCTGATGGGGACGACTGCTAGGATCTCGTCCACAAACAGCGAAAGCAAGATGTGCCTCCTGCATTTCTTCAAGACTCTCCCAGACCTGCTGTGGCACCTGCAACTGGATGATCCAGGACGGAGCAAAGACTCCACAGGACATAAGGGGAGGTGACTGGCCCAGACTGGAGAGCTCACCAAGGACTAGCAGCAGAAAGGAAGCTGGACTAACCACGGGTGAAGTCACAGACATTCGCATGGGTGAAACAAATTGGCAGGGGTTGGGTGCTTATTGCTATTTACTGAAACTTTTAAAAAAACTCAGAACTGCAGGATGAACGGGGCGGGGGGGGGGGGTGGACACGCTGGGTGCCCTCATGCCCTCTTCTCCTCTCACGTGCAGTTTCAGAGGCCTGGCTTAGGCACCAGGTCCAGGGCTGAGTTCTCGCTGGCATCAGCAGCAAAACCCTGGACTTTGCCTGACTGCTACTCCAGGAAGGACGCGTGACCAGCTTGGGGGGCACAGTAGCTACACCGTCTACCAGGGCTCAGCACGAGCTGGAGTGCTGGATGGGGAGCCCGTGCTCCACCCTCTCTGGATCTGCACAAGGACACAGCAGCTCATGACCTGTTGGCAGTCGCCCTACAGCCACCAGGGAAGGGCCAGACAACATGGAGGACCCTGGCATGTGGGGGCAGGGCAGAAAGACAGGCCTCTGAGGCCCTGCTGCACCTCTGGACCAGGTCACCCTGGAGGCCGCTCTGCATGTGAACCTGCCACTGACCCAGTGCAACGCTCTTCTCCATTATTTAAGCCACTTGGAATTGGGTTTTCTATTTGAAACTCAACAGACCTGAGGAACAGTGAGTGGCTGAACAGTTGGACTTCTGCGGGGTCCAGAGAGCAAGCCCCACCACTGGGTAGTCTCCCCCGTAGGGTCTTCCCTCCGCCTGGGGATCCCTCAGCCCAAGATCAGAGACAGTGGCAGGAAAGGCTGCCATGAGCTGAGCCAGGGGTGCACGGATCTCCTCTGGGCAAGAACAGATGCCCCAGGGCCCTCCAACGAGACCATCAGTTAACTGGCTCTCCCTTTTCCTGGCCCAGCTATAATATTTTCATCAGAAAGCTGAGCAGAAACCTCAGCCAGAGCCCAATGCGCCCGTTCATTTGATGATGGTTTATGAAGGTCTCACTGAGTCCCAAGCACCGTGCAAGCCAGAACAGCAATGGTCATCGAGAGGGACGCGGCTCCCGTCTTCACGGAATTCATAGGAAAGCTGGGAAGATAGACATTGAGCAAATAAGTGCAAGCTTGTTTTTAAAAAAGTCCAGGGCAGCCTATGGCCTAGTGGTTCAGTTAGGCACAATCTACTTCAACAGCCAGGGTTCAGATCCAGGGCTCAGACCTATACCACTCATCAGCCACGCTGTGGTGTCGACCCACATACAAAATAGAGAAAAACTGATACAGGTGTTGGCACAGGCACATCTTCCTCAGCAAAAACAAACAAACAAACCTCCAGAAAAGAGAAGCTACAACAAGCTGCCATGGACAACAGAGAGGGGACAGTTAACCTAAGCCAGGAGTCAAGGTAGGACTCATTTAGGACACTGCATTGAAGCTGGAATTTAGAAGACTAAGCAGGAGTTACCCAGAAGAAAGGTAGGCTGGGAGTGCTCTGGGCAAGAGAACCGAATGTGAGATCAAGCACGTGCACAGTTAGGGCCAGTGGAACAACGGGAGGCAGTGCGAGGGAAATAGGGAATCTGAGAGTGGAGAGGCAAGGATATAACTCACTGAGGTCCCCAAAAGCCTGGTTACAGAGCCTGTAATTTATCCCAAGCACAACGGGAAGCCCTGAAGGTGCTGAGCAGCAGAGTGACAGGGTCAGATCTACATTTCAGGGCACTAGGCCTATGGCAGGGTGCAGACCAGACGGGGCACGCGGGGCTAGTAGAGCTGGAAGCCAACACCGGCCAGCCCAGGATATGGCCACCAAGAAGAAGAGGAGCAGACAGAGGGCAGCCCTGCTCAGGACATGAGGCTCCGAGGCGTGGAGGCTGACCCTGGGGCTCTGGGACTGATCTGTGGCATGGGGGCGGACCCCAGTGGTGGAGGCGGGCCAAATGCGGAGAGAGAGGTGGGCAAAGTGCTGGTGGCTCCAGCCTCCAGCTCACTTGAGCGCGCCTGGCAGGGGGAGGGGGCATCTGGGGCCCTGGCTGTCTGTCATTTTCACCCGCCCATCCAACTGTCAGCTCTTTCTCACATCCTTTTGCGATAGGATGTTTTCATGTCTCAAGCGACTTGAGGGCAGAAATGGAAGAACTGGAGGAGCCCTGCGTAGACAGTAAATGCTGGGAAGCAGGAGGCGCCCCCTTTCCCGGGCACGAGGCTGGTACCTGTGTCAGGTGTGCGTTCAGGCCTTCATGCGTGGCCTTCAGCAGAGCCCGCACCGTGAAACTGTCAGGATCTTCTTTGTCTCGAATTTGAGATTCTTTTAACAGCGACTCCAGTTTTTTCCTGATGAACGATTCCACCTGATGCTCAGTAGTTCCGTTATTCTGCAAAGAATCAAGCAATGGAAATAATTTTCCTTACAGACAGAGAGCCCATCAGAACACCCTTATTCAGGCCAACATCGCTTCTATGGTTCAATTCCCTCTCAGTCACCTGCAAGAACGTAAGCTCACTGTGCCGTTTTGCTCCTTCCTGCACACACCCCAGTTCCACAGTCAGGGATCGCGGTGCTGCATCTGCCCTCGAGACCCTATGAGGTCTCAGTACCATTTCCATCTCAGAGATGGAGAATCTTTCGCTCAGAGAGACTGCGCTGCTCAAGGTCTCGAAGTCAGCAAGTCACCAAGCAGGACTCCGGCAAGGCCCCGACACTGTTCCCAGGACCCTGCTCCCTACTTCAACGGAAGGGGGGCGGCCAGAGCGTCTGGGGCCAGGTTTTCTCTGTCCAAATGGGCAGATCTGAGCAAAAGACACCATTTAAAACCAACCACTTCCTTCACTGAGGGGAGAAGAATGCTATGGAAACCTCTGGAGCTGAGGACTATCCTAAGAGAAAACCCACGTCCTTCCTCTGAGCTCACTGCCTAAGTAGAAAGAACCAGTGATGACGCGTCATCACATCACTTAAGGTCACAGCTAACTTCAGACAAAGTATCTGAGGACAAAAGTGTGCCCATATCTAGATGACGACGCAGGCAATTTCTAGGGGATGGAGGGACACAGGTTTCCTAAGTCTGCTCAGCACAGCCTCTTAGCCACCTTGTTCGGCGTGAACCCAAAGGCTGGCTCTGCTCACAGCTCAACCACCCTCTCACCTCCCACGTCCACACCTTCCTGCAAAGTCTCCAGCCACCTGCCCAGGGCCACCCCCGAAGGCAAGGGGAGGAGGGCTCCTCCACAAGAACAGCCCGTATTCCTCACACAGAGCCTCAGGCCGTGTCTCCACTGGCAAGTCGGTTACAAGAGACAGACTTGACCCTATTAAACCCCACAGAAGGGGCAGCTTTCTAGTTAATGGATTCACTTTCACAAAATTTTGTAAGAACCAGTAATGTAAACGCCCAAAGGGAGATGCGGACGGGGCCGAACTGCCTGTGTGAGCATCACACGCGGGAATATTGTTAATGCCTGGTGAACAAGGCCGGGGTCCTGAGGGAGATGCAGAGATGGAAGAGGGCTGGCCCTTGACCTCAGGAGCAGACAGCCCCTGAAGCTGACAAAGGCGTGTCCCCAAGCAGCACTTCCGTCTGCATGGCCGGCTCAGCCACGGTTCTGAGAAGGAACACGGCCTGGCCTTCCTGCCCGAATGACCGAAATGGCCTCAAGGAGAGGCAGGGCAACTGGCACAGCTGGTGAGTGAGACCCCACCAGCGACCAAGGGCAGGGCCCTCCCGTCATCCTCAACCCAGTGCAGGCTCCGCGTTGGTAAAGTGTGTTCCGTGGACACAGAACAGGCTGAGTTTCTGAGGGCAGAGGCACAGGAGGAGAGTGATGAGGGTGAAGCTGGAGGAGGACTCTGGGGGCAGGCGTGGAGCTGCCAAGCTGCCACGTGGAGGAGTGTCTGAACCTGCAGCATGTGCAGACAGGGGACAGCGCCCCAGAGAAAAGGACAGACACACCAGCTCCCCTGACAGGCGCTGAGAGCCAGGCCGATGTGCCGGGGTGGATTCAACGAAGATGAGAGGGCGAGAGCAAAGTTTGCCTTGCATAAAACACACACACATTGAGCTGCCACATGTCCAGTGAGAAACATGAATGAGGCTCAACCCACCATCCCAGAACCCTCGGTGTCACAGTGCAGACACACAGGTCAGTGGACAATCACAAGCAGCAGCAAGCAGACATCGGGGTACAGGGGGCCACCTGCCCAGCCCTGGAGTGCAGGAGAGACTCCCAGGAGCAGATGACACCTGGGCCAAGCCTTGAAGACATGTGTCAGTCTCCCATCGCTGCTGTCACAAACTACCATGACCTGCCTCTTAAAGCAGCAGAAACTCGTCCTCTTGAAGTTCTGGAGGCAGGATCACAAGTCCAGGCATTGGTAGGGCTGGGCTCCTGCTGAAGCCCTGGGAAAGCTCCTTCCTGGCTTCTTTCCGTTTCTGGCAGCCCCCAGCACCCAGGGGGCGCACGGCAGAGGACCTCCCATGGCTGCCTTCTGTGTCCCTCTTTCATCCGTCTGACCCTCCTCTCACGAGGACACTTGTTACTGGACTTTTAGGGCCACCAGGCTACTCCGGGATGAGCTCATCTTGAGACCCTTAACTTAATTATTAATTACATCTGCAAAGGTTCTTTTTCCAAATAAGGTCATGGTCATGGGTGCTAGGGCAGGACTTGGACATGTCTTCTGTGGCCACAAATCAACCCACCACCACGAATATGCACTGACCATCCAGCAAAGGGTCGAGTGACAGCATTCCCACGTGAGCCAGAGCACGGAGAGACTGTTAACATGGGAACACGTGGAGAAAAGAGCACAGGTGTGGGCATGTGCACATGTGTGCGTTTGCGTGTGTGCAGGAGAGGCAGCCAAGCCTCCCCCGTGCTGAGTCCGCAGAGTGCCTTCCAGTGACGCTGCACCTGAGCCGCCCAACGCCCTTCAAGGCAGCACTATGACTCTCCAGATTTTACTCATAGTAACACATAGGCAGGAAGACTGTCCAGACATGCATGCCAAAGAAGCGGCTGACCCAGGACTTGAACCCAAGGCTTCCAGCCCAGAGCTCCAGGTCTGTGTCTGCACGCAATGCTGCAGCCAGCCCCTTGAGGCTGTCACAGTAAAGGAGAACCTCTGGAGACCAATGAATCAGAGCAGGTGCATATTTTAAACACCCATTACTCCTATACGACGGCTGGGAAATACACAGCCACAATCCCTCTGCAGGAAACAGCAGGTTTCACAGGTCAGCAGGGACTCCAAGAAAAGAGCTCCAGGTCTCAAACGCCCAATGCATTTGATCAAGCGACCCAGAGACTGACAAACAGAGATGGCAGCACCCAGGGCACATGCCACATGCCACATGACCATCAGCTCCTTCCTGGCTCAGGCCACGGGACAAGCCAGAGACCGTGATGAACTGTAGCCACCACGTCCAGACACCCCATCAGCAAAGCACAGACAAAAATATGGAGCCAGATGGTGGGTGCTGGTGAAATAACAAATGCTTAATACAAAGCTATAATTATTCACTTCACATCCACTGAACACTGGGAGTTGCTGGAGGAATGAAATTTCTGCTGGTGGGTCTTTCTCTTCTCTGTGATTTACAGCATGAGAAAATTAGCCACCAGGGACAAATAAACGTGTGGCTAAGGTTTCACTAATACGTTATCGCTGAGTTCTGGAACCACACAGCAAAGAAGGAACCTAGACAGACACTGGAGCTCGCAGCCTGCCATCCATGTGCAGCTGCAGCAGTGACCACAATTGGACACGGAGCATCATGCTCCTTTGTCCTGAGCCAGTGGGAGAGAGGATGCCACAGCAGGGGTGTAGGGGAGGGGGGCAACCCTTCAACGTGGGGAGAGTCCCCACCAGACACACCCTCAGGGTGGCCAGTTCCGTTTCTGAGAGGTAAATGGGATCCAGGAGCACCCACCACGGGTAAATAAACACAAACACACTCTTGTTTGGTCTCCAGCCTGAAATAAAAGGATCCCAGGGAAGCAAGGCAGAGGGCTTCCCGAGCCACAGCCCCCAGCGTAGACTGGGCAGCAGCAGGAGAGAGCGCAGCAGGGCTGGAGGGCTGCCCTCGAGGGAGGGGCCCTCTCGCACAGAGGCCCCACCTCTGCACATGCTGGAAGCCCCAGGCCACACCCTGGACCAGGAACACGGGAATCTCTGGGCCGGGACCTGGGCACTGGAAGTTCTGAAAGCTCTCCTGTCATCCCTGTGTACAGCCCAGGTTGAGGAATTTGCTTTAACAAAATGAAAACAAGACAGTGGAACATATCACCTGCCCCAACGTCCTTCTCCCTCTAGGCTGGAGTCCAGAGTCAGGAGGAACAATGGACAGGTCAGCTTCCCGCATGAGGCCCAGAGCTCCCAGAGCCCTGACCTGAGGGTGTCGTGCTGCAGGGCAGCTGCCCTCAGGCTCAGGTCCATACGTCCCTCCCCGTCCTGCCTACTCTGACAGCCCCCTGAAAACACCACTGCTCAGGACCCCTGTTATGACAACCGAGTAGGTCCTTGTTCCCGATGGTGTCTGATGATTGCTGAGCACAAACCACATGCCAGGCACTGTTCTTCACAGGGTTTGAACTTACTGAGCCCTCATGATAATCTTCCTCCTTTTTTTAAGTTAAATAATGATTTTGTGCTTTAGTACATGAAAAGTCAAATTTATGCAATCATGGCAGAGAGGACAAGAGGGACTTGTGCTCCAATGGGGACAAATCGCTTATTCCCACATCACAGAGACTGTTGACTCAGTTGCTGTCAGTAAAAATCAGACAGAATTTAGGATCGTGATCCTTTCTGTCTCAAGGTGTCTTAAAATAGCAAGAGTGCCTTTAATTGGTCCTCAGGGAGATCAGGAGAGAGATTTTTGGGCTTCGGGATGCTCAAGATATGATGGCCTATCACACCATGTGCTTGTGCAAGGTCAAGGGCACCCCAGGACTGCACACCTGCCCTCCTTGAGGTCAGGCATCCATTTCAGCCAGGAGAGGACATGTTCCCCACAGTGCAGAGCTAACAGGGACAGCTCCATCCCAGGAAGGTAATGTGACTTACGAAGGTGGAGTCAGGCAGAGAAGCTGCAGCCACATTCTGAAGCATTATTTTAATGTCCATTTAGAAGATGAGGATAAAGAAACCGAGGCACAGCACTGTGGAGGAGTGATGCCAGCATCATGGCAGAGTGAGCTGTTCCTTTTGTCTCTCCCCTCTAAGTTACAACTAAACAGACATCCATTAACCAAGAGGAATCCCACACAGCACAACAGGATGTCTGAGAGACCCACCAGCCATGCAGCTGACAGCGGGTGGACTGGATCCCGGGAGGTAGGGGAACAAGGTGAGTGCACCCCTCCCCCTCCCTGG